CCCTCTCTTGAAAAAAAAAAATCTCCCTAATTATTCTCAAATGGCACTCTCTCTCTGGGTGTTTGAGAAATGTGCTGTGAAAAGTAAATATTGTATTTGAGTGCATCGAGCAGGCCCAGCGTCTGGTGTGGGAGAGCTAGCAGTCACGCTACACAGGCTTTTAAAGTGTGTCTCTGCTTTCCTTTCCACCGTACCTCTACCTCTTATCTAGCTCTTCAACGAATGGACAAGACCTGCAATAATACACCCCCCACACACACAGACAGAGAGTACTCTATTCAGGTTTACCCCTGTGACACACACACATCTGCACGTGCACTCACAAAGATATGGTACACACTTTTTATTAGCATGCACTACAAGAAACAATCGACAATGTGCTGATATGTCAACCTCTTGTAGGGAACCAGCAGTATTACAGAGAGAGAGACAGAGAGACTTTTGTACTTTAAGTACATGCACATAGTTACAACGCTGTTTATAGACATAATATCACATTTGAAATGTCTTTATTCTTTTGGAACTTTTGTGAGTGTAATATTTACTGTACATTTTGTATTGTTTATTTCACTTTTGTTTATTATCTATTTCACTTGCTTTGGCAATGTAAACATATGTTTCCCATGCTAATAAAGCCCCTTAAATTGAAATTGAAATTGAGAGAGAGAGAGGGACCTAGCCACAGTGGTAACACAAAAGAGACAGGGACCTTGTGTTCAGCTCCAACGTTGTGCCCCTGTCAGTGTGTACAGTACAACATCTTCATGCCTAAACTATCAGAACATCCCTTTCTTACACACAGGTTGCCAGATGGCTATTTTGGGCTGGGTTGTATTCAACTTTTTGAGATATTTTGGGAGATATTTTTTTTAGTCTTTTGTTTCCTGGTGGGCTTGGGCAAGCTATGCGAGGGTGAAGAATGCGGTGGCATCGCGGGGGCGTCTGGGCAGATGAATTGGGGCACTGATTAGAGCATAATTTCATGTGATGGGTGTCCTGGGGAGACCGTGAGATGGTGGCTGGGGGAGGAGGGGGACGGTTGAAGAATGGGTAACAGAGGAATGTTTTCTCAACATACTGGTAAAACAAACTGGAGCAGAATGTAGATTATCACACGTATTGTTGAACCTAAACCTGCACAGCCAGACGAGGGCTGTAGACCCACCATGCCACACAAACCCTTGCCCTGCCCTCCCTGATGCCTCCACATGCCTGACACACCAGATGCCCCAGTCACCAGAAGGATAAGAGAGAGTAAGGAATTAAATGGTCGCTTTGCACAATAGCCCAAAGATATCTCCCTCTGCTTTGTGACATCTGATACTCATGAGTGCATCTCCAGACGATGGTGCTTTACAAATAAAGTTATCATGACGATAATTATCCTGTGAAGTGGACATGGCCTTCTTGTCTGCCCTGCTGTTCTCACCCAAGACAGGACCAGACCTGCTTCCAAAATGGCACCCTTTTCCCTATAGAGTGCACTACTTTTGGCCAGAGCCCTATGGTCAAACGTAGTGCACTTTAGGGAATAGGGTACCATTTAAGATGCAGCCCCAGAGCCAGAGATCTCCAAATCCTGACTCTTTACCCAGAGTCCCTAGCAAAGCCCCAGTGCCACTCATTGGCCACTTTCAGTGTCACAGCGTTTAGGATACTCTGGCATGTGCAGATAAAGGAATAATAGCAGGATAATACGTTAAGGATTCAGGGGCAAAATAGGTATATACTTTAATAGAGGTATTAATATCAAAGCCACAATCCTCTCTTTTCTCTGCAGCCAATACACAATGACAAACCCTAACACTAAAAAGTTATTGAAATGTTTTTGGGAAAAACTGATAACAAACAATGCTGATTCAGAGAAACTGATTTACTCACTTGTTTAATCAATGATGTGTTCGTTTTGTCCTTACACATTTACTGGCTAAAGGCTATATCTCTTGAAAATAATAGCCTATGAAGACATTTAGATGATCTAGTGCTTGATTATCTCTGTGTCTATATACACTACATAACCGAAAGTCTGCTCGTCGAACATCTCATTCCAAAATTATGGGCATTAATATGGAGTTGGTCCCCCCTTTGCTGCTTTAACAGCCTCCACTCTTCTGGGAAGGCTTTCCACTAGATGTTGGAACATTGCTGCAGGGACTTGCTTCCATTCAGCCACAAGAGCATTAGTGAGGTCGGGCACTGATGTTGGGCGATTAGGCCTGGCTTGCAGTCGGCGTTCCAATTCATTCCCAAAGGTGTTAGATGGGGTTGAGGTCAGGGCTCTGTGCAGGCCAGTCAAGTTCTTCCACACCGATCTCGCCAAACCATTTCTCTATGGACCTTGCTTTGTGCATGGGGGCATTGTCATGCTGAAACAGGAAAGGGCCTTCCCCAAACTGTTGCCACAAAGTTGGAAGCACAGAATTGTCTAGAAGGACATTGTATGCTGTAGTGTTAAGATTTCCCTTCACTGGAACTAAGGGGCCTAACCCGAACCATGAAAAACAGCCCCAGACCATTATTCCTCCTCCACCAAACTTTACAGTTGGCACTATGGTAGCGTTTTCCTGGCATCCGCCAAACCAAGATTCGTCCGTCGGACTGCCAGATGGTGAAGCATGAGTCATCACTCCAGAGAACGCGTTTCCACTGCTCCAGATCTTAGGCTTGTGTGCGGCTGCTCGACCATGGAAACCCATTTTATGAAGCTCCCAACGAACAGTTCTAGTGCTGACGTTGCTTCCAGATGTAGTTTAGAACTCGGTAGTGAGTGTTGCAACCGAGGACAGATGATTTGTACGCACTCTGCGGTCTCGTTTTGTGAGCTTGTGTGGCCTACCACTCCGCGGCTGAGCCGTTGTTGCTCCTAGAAGTATCCACTTCACAATAACAGCACTTACAGTTAACCGAGGCAGCTCTAGCAGGGCAGAAATTTGACAAACTGACTTGTTGGAAAGGTGGCATCCTATGACGGTGCCACATTGAAAGTCACTGAGCTCTTCAGTAAGGCCATTTTACTGCCAATGTTTGTCTATGGAGATTGCATGGCTGTATGCACAATTTTATACACCTGTCAGCAACGGGTGTGGCTGAAGTAGCCGAATCCACTAATTTCAAGTGTCCACATACTTTTGTACATATAGGGTAATAGTTTCTGAAGTTTAATTTCTGAATATATCTCAAAATCATACAGTTCAATCCTGTATTTTCTTCCTTTTTTACACACACACACACACACACACACAAACACACAGCTCAATATCACTGAGACATCAATCCTAATAAGCATGTATAAACAGATACTTACATTGTCTCTGTGCTTGCAGGAAATGTGGGAATGACATCAATGTCAAAGCAGGAGATAGTGTAAGTCTTCCACTCTGAGCATTCGCAATCAGTGGGGCAGGAGTCGGAGTCCCCCAAGGTTTTGATAGGTAACGTGAAGAGGGTAAACAGCGCACATGTTATCACCTGCAAGCGGTGTCGGTCGTTTTCAGTCATCTCTTTAAAAAAATATCTAAAGTAATTTCAAAGCACTTCAGGCACTGACGGATACCTTCTCACCTGACGCCCGCGGCAAACTGAAGTTGAAGCACGTTACTTTGTTTATGTCATAAATTTCAGCACATGAGCTCGACTCGTCCCAGTGTAATTATACTGAGTTTTCTTATTGGCCGCTGACTCTCCGTGTCGTGTGAGAGAGCGGCGAGAGGAGATGCTTGGGGATACTCTCTGCGGTGTGGATTTAGTCTTGCTTTTTAAGGATTGGGTCTACAACAGACTTCTGAGACACTCTTGTGTTAAGTAGGGGAATTTAAGATATTGCATTTTCTTTACCTCATGGTCTGTTGGCTATTTTATAAAGTATATAGGCTATCCTACAAATACAATTTCATATCATAAAGCTAAAGCATCTAAATATCCTTAAAACACCACATTACAATCATGTCTTGTAGCTCAGTTGGTAGAGCATGGCGCTTGCAACGCCAGGGTTGTGGGTTCGTTTCCCACGGGAGGCCAATATAAAAAATGTATGCACTCACTAACTGTAAATCGCTCTGTATAAGAGCGTCTGCTAAATGACTAAAATGTAATAATGTGTGCTAAAGTTCACAATATTATCAGCCTACTCATTAATTGAGCTACTAACCTATTATAATGATTAATTGTCAATAAATTATAATCATTATCATTTTGTAGACTATAGATAACAGGCATAGGCTAGCCTACATAAAATAAACAAACAAAGTCTTATCTTCTTATCTTCTTAATTATATCAGTAGCCTCCTACTAACTAGAGGCGTTGCGCTGTAATCCAAAGAGCGGTTTGCAGTGGCGCAATATGCATGTCCCCAGAGCAAGTTTCGGACAATGTAGTTCTCAAGAATGTGATTCACACATAATTCCGTCACTGAGGTAACTTTAAAAACTACAACTCCCGACGTCATTTGAAACCGTTCAGCTCTTGTTGTCTTCCTGTTCTTGGCGGCCAGTTCAAGTTGCCATAGCAGAGAGAAACTGGCTTGTCCCTATTCAGTTGTCACTTGCTAAAGTGACTTGTTAACGGTTTCTATGTTGCTAATTCATGCTGGTAAGTGTGGCTAATATATTGAGAGTGTGTTTAGTTGAGTTAGCTAGCTACCGATGGTTCCAAATAAAACCCGTTTTTTAAAAATTGTTTAGCTAGGCTGGTTTAGCTAGCTAACGTTAGCTAGCCATAGTTAGCCCAGTTTTATTAATGTTAGCTAGACAGTTTTCTATCTGATTTACTAACAGTCATAACGTTAGCTAGCTAGCTTCCATACTCATAGCTAGTTATACAAAAATGTACAGCTAACTGAGTTTGAATAGAAAACGAACTGTCATAAAGATGAGATGCAACTAGCTAACGTTACATTTTCCAGTTTGCTATCTTGCTAATCTGATTAGTTAAATTGCTAATCAGCGATTAGTAATCTCAGCAGTAAAGTTTTTTTTTTTAAAGGCTACCCCTGACCAAAACAATGGAATCCTCCAGCGAGTCAGACGCCTTCGACCGGACGAAGGGGCTGAGATCACGGTCACGGGGGCGGGATGCCAGCTCCAGACTGCGACGGGAAAGTCACAGAACAGGTCCTGATGCTGCAGGCATTTCTGAGAAAATTAACACCTTGGCGAGTACTTTACAGGTAGGCTAGTCTCCTTTCTTTTCCCTGCTAATGGCAGTCAAGAACTGTGTATGCAGTTGTGGAAATATTTGCCTTGTTATCAGTGGCGGCTGGTGAAAAATATTCTCGGTGGGGCTGTGCCATACTTTTTTTTTCCTGTAACCATCGCGATATATTTTAACACAAACTGCAGGAAAGCAGTGCTCAGTGAAACATTCAGTAATTATTTAATGCCAATATTAAAAAGTTGAGGCATTCTTACACAAAAACATATTACACAAACCCAAGCCTTTCATTTGCATTTAAAGTGAACTTTTCACCATTGGTAGTAAACAGGCAACGCAACAGGCATGCTGTCAGAACAGAGTGGAAAGTGGACAATAACATGAAATTATTATAAAGTTTATAGGAAATCTTACACTGTATAAAAGGATGTATAATATAGAAATGGATATCAAGTGGATGAACTCAAACCTTTGACTGGAAGAATAGCATACAGTATTTTATGATCATACTAAATGTGACTAATTGTTAATGTGCTCCAGAACTGCAACAATTAATTGATACAAAACAACATATATACAGTAATATTAGCAAAGACACTATTAAGACTTTCTAGAGTACCATATATAACTGGATTTTTTATGCTAAGGTCAACTATATACAAAGAAACATGCGGCCAGAGCTGCTCTGTGTGTGTGTGTCTGTCATCTTATTTGTACAGGAATTTTATATATATATATAGACAGACAGACAGACAGACAGACAGACAGACAGACAGACAGACAGACAGATAGTGTGTATATACACACAAACTATGTCTAGTAACTGCTTTTAACCTGTGATGTACATAATTAACTGATGTTATTACGTTTTAAAGCCTTTTTCTATTACATTTGTGAGGGGGATGCAACATCATTTTGTTCTGCTGTGCACTTAGCAATAAAGTTAATCTTCAATAACAACTAGGCCTCTTCTAGAAATTGACCTGGTGGACACCTGAATAATTATTACAAACTGTGTAGTACTTTCCTGCATTATTATCAACGTCTGATTGTGTCTTCTCTTTCCTTTTAAAATACTAAAACAAATATAATTGTGACGGCTCTATGATAATCACTCACTTTGATGACCAGACACATTTAGGCTTTTAAACTGTTGTAAGTGAACTATTCATCTTTCTAACAACATCTTTATCAGCCAATAGTAAATATAGTTATTTACCTGATTGTTAGCATGCTGTCTGTGAACCTCTGGACAAGTGCTTTAATGAAGACAGGGTCGATGTTCCTCTTCTGCAGCTGGCTGAAAAGCATGTCCACATTTGGCATGATCTTGTGGAACAGTGCCAGGAAAAAACAGAAAGCCTCGTCTTCGAGCATCCTCACAAAGCCCCCCGCCTCTCTGACAGTCGGGGCATCAAAGTTCCCAGAGTCTCTGATGGTCTGGAAACACGTTAGTGGGTGGAAACGTCAGTCGTCTCGTCAGCTTGAATGGCGATAAAATCAGCACTCTTTACTTCCTCCAGGATGTAATCCTTAAGCACTGACAGCATACATTCCAACAGCTCGTTCTGTATCGTCTTTGACGTGCCCTTAAAAACGGTAGCTGTCTTCAGGTGCTCCTCCAGCACACTGTCGAGGGAGGCAACAAAATCCACTAAGCCCCGGAAAATGCCGGGGTTGTCCGAGGAGTCAGTCTCCTCGTGCCCACGCAAGGCCAACTCAAAAGCCCCACAGAACTTCACACAATCGATAATTTTGGATAGAATGTGCCTGTTTTTATCCACCTCCTCATTGTGTTTCCTCACCGCAATCCTGTGGCCGTCATCCAGCTGCGTAGCAATGTTCACCCTTCCTAATACAGCTAGCTTTACAGAGTTGTCCATGTGTGCCCTGGTGTTCTCATGTTTCTTTACCTTCTCTGACAGGTGCTTCATATCCCTCACTCCGGTACCTGTCCATGCTGAATCTGACCCCGTCCGGCCTGTCGTTTTAAAAAGCAAGCACGGAAAGCAAAATAAAGCATTAGCATCAGTGCACCCAGCTAGCCAAGCCTTCCTGGTGTACCAGCTACGGGAGAAGCCGCGCATATACTGCTTCCCTTTCTCGCTAGCCTGCTGTCTGATTGAGAGGTCAGGTTGATCTGGGCCCAGCTCTTTCACCCGAACTTTCTCTGACAAAGTTCTCCTCTCAAACGGATCTTGGAGGAGAGATTTCACCGAGTTAGGGTTGGGTCTTGGAGGAGTAACGTTTGCGCTCACCATTGTCGTCTAGTAAAAATGGCGCCACTGGAGCCCGGTCCTTATTTTATCAGGGGCGAGCTTGGGGCGATAAAATAATCGCCCTCCTTGGATTCGAATTAAAATCGCTGATTAGCTACATTTTATGTCATACATTCATATCTTAAATTAGCAATTGGCTTAACTGCTACGTAGACCCGCCTCCTCGGGGCACTTTCTGTATCGCCCAGAGCTGACGAGGCGTTTGACAGGCAGAGGAAAGGTTGCGAATATGATTTTCTATCATATCTTACACATATTACTGTGTGCATTCCATATTTCAAACACACAAATATTGACATACTGATGTTTTTATTATTATTATTATTTTTATTTATTTTTTATTTTATTTTTTTAAATAATTTTATTTAAGGGGGCGGCGCCCTAGCGCCCTCTATCGGCCAGCCGCCACTGCTTGTTATTTACAAACAACATGTGACAGATTAATCTATTGAAACCAATCAAAACCTTTCGAATATTTTGCATACGAATTGTCTTTCCTAATACCATTATAGCCAGCACTAATGGCTAATTTCTCCTTCTAGGACACTAGTAGGAATTTGAACAAAGTGGACCGGATGCTGGGGCAATACAGAGAGCACACAGATGACCAGGCAGAAGCCATGGCAGCAGTAAGTAAAACATTGTCAAAAATGTAATGTCTGCAACTGTTTAGTTTCAGTTGCCCACGTCTCATTTTATACATGAAGGTTGTGTGCTGTAAAACTCAGTCAACACATTGTCAGAAGTTCTCTAGTACATCTTGTCTCTCCCTCTCCCCCCTCCCTTCCTCCCTCCCCCTCTCTAGTTGAGGGATAATCTGGAGGAGTCTATCTCTCAGCTGCAGAGCCAGAGGCTGCGTAATTCCTCAGGGGTCCGGAGTGCCTCAGCCTCCACCCTGCACACCAGCGACCTGGAGGCTGGCTATGGCTCAGGTGATATATGCTATATATAATGTCTAGATGTGAGACCTATGACAGACAGATAGTCAAGGTCAAAAGACCAGGGGGCAGGTGGAATTAATTTAGAAACTTTACTTATTATAACTGTTTTATTTCGAAAAACAATTCTGTGCTGTTATACAGTTATAGAATAGTTATATAGCCTACAGTTTATTATGTTTATGTTTGTAGAGGGCCAGCGCTTCTACCCCACGTCTCCCTTGAAGGACTATGGGAGATCTGAGTCGGCCGGAGAAGGAGGAGCGAGAAGGAGGTCTAGATCAGCTACAGTCCGCTTCAGAGACCCCAGCCTGCCAGACGGGGATGTAAGTCCTGAGACCACCTTATCTGTCAAAGCTCTGCATGTTCGATGTCGTCACTTCAACGCTCACTGTTGCAGTGCAGTTAGAGGCAAGAACCAGCAGAGGGCGCGTTGCATTGTTTTTGTGCCCTAAAGTTTTCTCAGTAACAGTTGAATCTGGTAGTATCAGGGTACGACAGTGGTATAACAGTATTATGCAGCCCTTGTTAACGTTTTAAGGAGTGCAAGTGTTCTCTTTGTCTTCTTCCTCCTCAGGTCCACGTCCTGCACCAGTCATTCAGAGACCTGCGCAGTGATCAGCTGAGACTGGGGGACGACATGGACAGAGAAATCCTCAGGAGGAACAGGTAGAGGCCCTGTGAGGTCCAAAATGTACCATTTATTAATTAATTAATTAATTCCTGTTTCCCTGTTTCTAAGGTCTGACATTGACACCAGGCGAGCCTTGGAGAATCTCTCTGAGCACCTGACGACTTCACAGAGACAGGACTCGGTAAGTTAGGGACATAACAGTAACATAACAGTACGAAAATGTATGCACTCACTACCGTAAGTCGCTCTGGATAAGAGCGTCTGCTAAATGACTAAAATGTCAATGTAATAGCATCATACATGAATTCCACATTAAATACATAACTGTAAAAACATTATTCCAACGTTAGGTGCTCCACTCTAGATGTGATCTTAGAAAGCTTAGTGCTGTAACCTACAGTGACTTTCTCCCTTCAGATGTCGTCTCGTGTGGAGAAGCGTCTGCAGGAGATCGAGAGGGAGATGTGTTCGGAGCGACAGAACGTGTCAGAGAGACGACCAGAACAGCGGGGGAACATGTCTGATGAACTGCAGGAGGTGGGACACCTTGACTTCTACCCTTCCCTAATATAACCCACATTCATCTCACACCATCCACCCCTCTCATCCAAACCATTCTAGCTGTCCTCCCGTCCCTGCAATTAGCCTTTTCCATGTCAGTGTTGTTTTCAAATTAAGACCAGATCCGAAGGTTGCCACTGGGGGGCAGTGTTTAACTATGTATCAGCTCTAACCCTCTCCTCCCCTCCTCAGACAGAAGCAGTGATAAGAGAGGTGGCTAAGTCATTTGCATCTCTTTCCACTGCAGAGAGCTTCTTCTTCTAATGAGAAGCCGGTTGCCCAAGGCTAGGGGAAAATAATGTATGTGTTCTCAAATTAAGGGTAAATATACAAGAGGAGAGGAAATGAAGAGGAAAATCATCTCTTTTACTAAAGGGAGAAGGGGCAAGGGAGAGGTCGGCCTTTGTAGTTGTATTATAAGGCTACACTCCAGTGGGCCTACTCTACTCTACTGTACTGCCATGATGTGAATGAATGGAAAGGATGAGTCATTTGGTGGATGGTGTGTTATGGGGCTGTAATACATCACTAAGCCTTTACAAAACACCACAGAAACAGGAGTGTGTGGGATGGGATGCTAAGCTCTATTAGAAACCCAACACATGATCTCTTTGAGTGGAGATGGAAGCTAGCTAGCCATCTACTGTAACACTATTACTCGTGTTTCTCCTCCTGACTGTTCGGTTATCAACTAGCCTAAAGGCTATTCTTCTCCTTAGCTTTTTCCATTCTCAACTTGCCTACAGGCTAAAAGGCACGTTAGTTAATTTAGTTTGAATGTGATACTACATACTAAATGTATACATTTACATTTTAGTCATTTAGCAGACGCTCTTATCCAGAGCGACTTACTTACAGTTAGTGAGTGCATACATTTTTCATACTGGCCCCCCGTGGGAAACGAACCCACAACCCTGGCGTTACAAGCGCCATGCTCTACCAAGTGAGCTACAGGGGACCTATAGTGCTGTGGTGTGTGTACATGTACGTATCATTCATATACTCTCTATGGTTTCCTTATCAAGGCTCTGAGGAGGCGAGAGGCTCGGGACCTGGAAACTGAGGAGGCCGTCAAGAACAAACTACTGAGATCAGAGAGCGCGAAGACCAAGGTGTGTGTGTCTGCGCTTGTGTGTCTGCGCTTGTGTGTGTGTGTGGTAGGTGCTGATTTTGGAAGTGGACTGCTCATTTGATTGTTACATGGAACAGGCCTTTTCTGACAAGCTCATTAAATACCAGCCCCTTGTATCACGCCTGGACAGCCTGGGATAGCAATGCAAGTTGGTGGCATTGATATTTGGCAGTCTCGGCCACGTACATAGGCTTACTGTACGCAGCCTTCAGATTGCAGGCCTGCCTAAGAGTAGAACAAAACAACTGACTAGGTACTGCTCTGTTTCCGCCGTTATGGGCAGACCAGCTGTGTGGAGGAGAAGGTGCTTTTTGTGTCCTTGCATCAACGACCTTTGAAATGTTTGAATCCTTTATGATGTGGCGCAGTGGTCTAAGGCACTGCATCACAGTGCTAGCTGTGCCACTAGAGATCCTGGTTCGAATCCAGGCTCTGTCGTAGCCGGCCGTGACCGGGAGACCCATGGGGCGGCGCACAATTGGCCCAGCGTCGTCCAGGGTAGGGGAGGGAATGGCCGGCAGGGATGTAGCTCAGTTGGTAGAGCATGGCGTTTGCAACGCCAGGGTTGTGGGTTCGATTCCCACGGGGGGCCAGTATAAAAAAAATAATGTATGCACTCACTAACTGTAAGTCGCTCTGGATAAGAGCGTCTGCTAAATGACTAAAATGTAAATGTAATGTGATTTGTGGATTCAAATTAAAGTATTTAAAAAGTGTGTGTGCATGCAAATCATACTTTAGGCATATATTCTGTATCCCACTTTCTGCCTTTTCAAAGTCGAAGAATGCAGATGATATCATTCTATAAGAGCTGAAGTACTTCCTGGTTGTATAATGAAAAGGATCTCATGAATGTGCCTGTATCTGTCGAGGTCATGTGTAGGGCAAGGTTTTTCTTCCTGACCGTGTGACCTGACCAGATAAAACTCTTGGCACTAATCATGTGATCTGTCCTCCAGATGGAGGCGGAGCTGGAGAAGGCCAGGAGACAGCTGGACCAATCAGAAGGAGGCAGGTGCGCTCTTCTACAACAGGTACTCGAGTAGCTCTTCTTAAAGGTGTGTGTGTAGTGTTGGGTGCTACAGTGTTAATCAAATTCATATTCTGTGTGTGGGTAAACTCCTCCATGTGTGTGTTCCCAGGTAGAGGAGATGCGTGTGCAGCTGCTGAGGACAGAGAAGGAGCGTATGGATCTGCAGAGGGAGATCTCCCAGCTCACTACCCAGCCCAGAGCCACTCGCATGGACAGGGAGGAGAGAGGAGCAGGACTGGGACTAGGTACTGACTGCTGGAGCTCTCATGGGTTAATGGTTTTTCAGTGGAGGTTGTCGGCTAAAGGAGGGGAGGGGAGGAGAGTGAATGCCTGGGCTTAGGTACTGACCTACTGCTGCCCACAGGAATACGTTTTTTTTCTTCAGAAATTGTGGAGGTTGCATCCTGTCTGAACACTAAATGAAGGCTGTGTGGATTTGGCATGTGTGTTATCTGACGTGTAGAGCATGGCATGTGTTGTCTGACTTCGAATGTGGTGTGTTTTTGTTACATGTAGACCGGTCATCGGAGCTAGAGAGAGAGGTGCAGGAGCTGAGAGCCCAGCTGAGCAGGACATCTGTCCTCAGTGAGGTGGACGATCTCAGGAGGACTCTGGAGCGCAAAGACCGAGAGAGAACACAGCTCTGCAACCAGGTCGAGGTACGTGTGTGTATGTGTGTGTGTGTCGATAAGTAGATGTGTGTATGCATGTCTGCCTGAATGAGGTTAAATCAGGTTATCTTTGTGCCACAGCTTCTATTTGCTGCAAACTCTCTCTTGATCTGGTTAAATGTGCCAAGTGAGATGACAGTCAGAGTAGAACATCAGTCGTTTAGCTAGCTAACAGTCAATTATCCGCCTCATAGAGCTGAGATCTGTCAGTTCACTGAAGGGAAATATCAAACCCTCCCCACTAAGCACAAAGAAATAAACAATATTGTAGTGGAAATATTTTTACTTAATGAAGTTATAGTGGATATATTTCCACAGTTTTTTAGTCTCTGCTACCTTCACTGAATCTCTCTCTCTCTCGCTCTCGCCTCCCATCCCACTCTCCCTCTCTCCTTCACCCCCTTCCTACCCCAGGCGTTGTCGTCAGACCTGGCGAGGCGCGAGCAGCAGCAGTTGAGGATGTTGGAGCAGTTGAAGGAGATCCAGGGCCGTTCGGAGGTGTGTGCTGCTGAGCGGGCCCGGGCCCTGCTCAGGGCTGAGGACACTGAGGCCCAGCTCCAGGACAGCTCCATGAGAAGGGAGGAGCTGAAGACCAGAGCCCAGGAGGCAGTCAGACAGTGGAGGGCCAAGTGTAAGAGGATGGAGAGGGACATGGAGGAATTGAGGGGACAGGCCCAGCTGGACACGGAGAAAGCCAAACAGGTCTGTATTGATGGTGCATTGAAAGAGATGCATCAAAGTATGTTTTGTGGATGACCTGTTGCTGTTCAGAAGAGTGATCAAATGCACTCCTCTCAGTTACTCTTAGCAAAGCTTTCTAATACTGAAAGAGCAACTGCCAAAGCGTTTCAGAGTCATACTGGCCTTATGAGGCTGAAGAACACAAGGCTCATATACAGGGGTGTGGAAGCGTGAGCTGCTAGATCTACTGGGGCTGCTGGTATGGGTGACTGGCCTTAGCTAAATGATTAGCTGTAGTCAGTCAGCCAGGCATTATTAGTGTGAATGTCACCTTCCTGTTTTTTTCTGAGCAATGAGTCACCTCCAAACTCTCTCCCCAGCAGCAGCTGACTGACTGACTGACACCTGGCTCTCTCTCTCTACGTGACAAGAATGAATACCCTGAATAATTTCTCCTCTTAATAAATTAGGAGGCAGAGAATTAACTGCTCAATTAACTGATTAGGAGTGGAGCTCTGAGCTGGGACAAAGCCTTGCAGACAGTCCCTCAGACAGCAGATTAGACAGTGGGGTGTTTTGTTAGAGTGGGATCAGAGACGGAAAGGCGAACCAATCTTTCTTAAACAGACCATGGCTAGGCCTATAGCCTTAATACAGATCTGAGCTGAGCGACAGCTTTTTACTATCTACGTTGAAGCTGGTGTTTGCACTTTGCATACATTGTCCTCTCCACATATCTCTCCCTTCGTTTGTCTCACTCTCCTCCTTCTCGTCCTTTCCCTCTCCTCCCTCTCCTCTACCCCCAGGCGTGTAAGGAGAGAGAGCTGTCCCAGGCCCAGCTGAAAGCCCTCTCCCAGCAGGCTGAAGGGTTGCGCAGGGAGCTAGCAGAGGTGCTGGGGCGTCTGGCTCGGAGCGAGGAAGAGGTGCACCGTAAAGACGTGGAGCTGTCGGAGACGCGGGCGCGTCACCTTGGCCTAGAGCAGGAGTTAAGGGAGGTGAGGGAGGCCTCCATTGCCCTGGAGGAGGAAGCCCAGCGGCAGTCTGTCCTGCAGGCCAGGCTCAGAGAGGAGAACCAGAGTCTGGAGGAGGAGGCCCAGCGGCAGTCTGTCCTGCAGGCCAGGCTCAGAGAGGAGAACCAGAGTCTGGAGGAGAGGGCCGAGGCCGTGGCCCGACGCAGCCAGAGAGACCAGGAGGTAGGCTACTTAATAGCCGAGTCTGAAATGTTACCCTATTCCCTAATATAGTGTACTGCTTTTGCCCAGGGTCTAGACACTAAAACTTTGGACTTTTAAAATATAAAATAACCAAGCATAAAGTGACATTCATTTCTAAGGAGTTACGTAGCCTCCAGGCAGCCATGAAGGAGTTAACCACCGCCCATGCCCAGCTCACCACCCTTCTAGCTGAGGAGGAGGCATCCAAGAGGGAGCTCCAGAGGAACGGGGCGGAGGGGGCGGTGCGGCTGGCCGCGGCCCAGGAGCAGAGGGCTTCCCTGGGGCAGCAGCTGGAGCTGGAGAGGGAGGTGCACCAGAAGGAGCTGGCCAGTGTCAGAGCCACTGTGCAGGACGGCAGGGCCAAGCAGGATAGAGACATACAGGAGACGCTACGACTCTGTATGAAGGAGAGGAATGAGATGGAGCAACACCTCAAGGAGATCAAGGTAGGTACTGGTTCATGTAAGGCACGTTCACACTGCACCTTAGCCCAGGGCTAAGAACTCGGGGCTAGGTGAGTGTTCACACTTGCACATTCTAAAGTGGGCTAGCACCAACCTTAGCCCAGGACTAGCTGGACCTGCTCCGGAGCAGGGTTAGCACCAACCTTTTCTTCTTGTGCTCTTGGTTCGTGTTCACATCCTTTGCGGTTTAAATGTTAACACATCTCTGTGAAATAATATTACCCCCATTATCCGTGATTAGCTGCCAAACACTCCCTATATTAAAACCAAATCATTTATTTTTATTTTTATTGTATTTGTCACATGCTTCGTAAACAACAGGTGTAGAATAACAGTGAAATTCTTACTTACGGGCCCTTCCCAACAATGCAGAGAAGAAAATAAATGGGGTACCAGTACTGAGTCGATGTGCAGGGGTACGAGGTAATTGAAGTAGATATGTACATATAGGTAGGGATAAAGTGACAAGGCAACAGGATAGATAATAAACAGTAGCAGCAGCGTATGTGATGAGTCAAAAGAGTTGCAAAAAGGGTCAATGCCGATATTCCAGGTAGCTATTTGGTTAACTATTTAACTAACTATTTAGCAGCCTTATGGCTTGGGGGTTAGAAGCTGTTAGGGTCCTGTTGGTTCCACGTCGGTACCGCTTGCCGTGCGGTGGCAGAGAGAACAGCCTATGACTTGGGTGGCTGGAGGCTTTCTCTTCCTTCTCTGGGCTCGTGTTCACAATCCTCCATCTATGGCATCTAAGGCTCTTTTTTCAAATTTCTTTCCTCGCTTGCTCAAAACACTGGAAGAAAACATCCATCTCCTATGTTTTTTAAAAGGTTGGAGATGGTTTCCAATTTTAACACATTTTTGTATTTAATTTTTTGAAAACTTTTTGCGCATCCTCCCTGCAGGCGGATGCAGCGTCGGACAAGGAGCTGGTGAGGGCCCTGCGTGTGAAGCTGGACAGGATGAAGACCGAGTGTGACCGGATGACAGAGGAGCTGAGCGGAGGAGAGGAGCAACGCTCACACCTTCGCAGGAAATACCAGTTACTCAAGCAGGAACTGGATGACAAGGTGAGCCCCAAATGGTCTTTCCCAAAGACATAGATAGATAGAAGCTTTTAACCACAGATCTAAGATCAACGTAATGCTGGGCTTGAACAGACGCCTACGCATCCTTTATGACCACAGACAGTTTAGCTACATTACTAAAGAATATCACCCATCCACTCCTCTGTCAGACATCACTGTATTTAACTAAAGTAACTCAAGTTCTGCTGGATCAGTATCCACTGAGTGGCCTAGCTCTTATTAACTTTACACACACAGACACGTTAATGATCCACACATCCACACACAGCCTCCCTCTCCCCTGGCCCCCTGGTCGCTTAGTTTATATTGACATATTGATTCATGTATCTCCATAGAGACCCAGAGAGTATTGACTCTATGGGGAGGAGGAGCTGACACTAGAACGGTTCATAAGGGAGTAAGTGGAGAGAGAGGTCAGATGTTCAAGGTTGTCTCTGCCCTACCTGTCCATCCGTCTGTCTGTTTTTCTCTAGAGTCTCTTCTGTTGTGATATTGGAAATGGAAGCTTGGCCAAACTTCCATTATAGCATTTTCCTCCACATAGAGGAAGACCAAGCCATAATAACCACAGTTGTAAACGTGAGCTCTCTCTCTCTCTCTCTCTCCTCCTCTCTCTCTCTCTCCTCTCTCGTCTCTCTCTCTCCTCCTTCTCTCGCTCTCTCTCTCTATCCTCTCTCTCCCGTCTCTCTCCTACTCTTCTCGATCTATTCCTCGCTCCATTCTCTCTCTCTCTCGACTCTCGAGCACTCCTCTCTCGCTCTCTCTCTCGTACTCTCCTCCTCCTGAGCGGATCGCTCTCTCTCCTCTCTCTATCTATCTCTCTTTCTCTCTCTCTACTCTCCTCTCTCGTCGTCTCTATCTCGCTCCTCTCTCTCGTCTATCTACTCTCTCTCTCTCTCTCTCTCTCTTCCTCCTCCAGGTGAAGTGCATGGTTCAGGGAGAGGAGCGGAGGCGTGGGTCAGAGCAGGCTGTAGCTACACTAGAGGACAGACTGTCTCGTCTGGACACTGAACAGGAGTCCATCCTCAGTTCTGTAGCAGAGGAGATAGACGCTGCCTGCAGAGCACTGTCCAAGGACTCACAGGACAAACTCAAAGTAAACACCATCAACTATTCTCGATAGGCACATACTCCTACACACCTGGACCTATTCCATACTAACCCTCCCACACACCCAAACTTGTTCCATACACACATACCATTGCCTACTCATCCTTACCTATTCCCCACACACAGACTTCTATCTAAACCCGTAGCAGTGTTGTTGGAGAGGGGTGAAGATAAAGGTTTTTGTCCGGGCGCCAGACATGTATTTACACTGCCGATATGATTAGTGTATAGGAGAGAGAGAGAGAGTATTGCTACCAGACACACACACATCAGCGGAAGAGACTGCCAAGTGTAGCCTGTTTGCCAGATAGCCTGTGGATAAGACACACCATATATACACAAGTCACAGCACAGGGGTAACCCAACCAATAATACCTCATACAGTAATAATGATTAGAGTGACTCAGAGGTGACTTCGTATAGGCAATAGTTATCAACATTAAATTATTTGCAATAATCTGTATTCATTCACAGAGTGAGTTGGTACATGAATGTGTGAGTGTTTGTAGTCCAAAACAAAAAAAGCCTTTAAATGTCCCAGTCTCTTTAAGGCAATATACAATATTCCCACAATACCCTGTCCTGTTCCCTCGCCGCTGAGTTTAACGACCCCAGTTAGCCCTCTCTGCTCCAGCATATAGATTTTCCAATATGCACCGAGGCGAGTCGGGCTAATGCAATGTTCCTCTGTCATTTATCATGTTAAAAAAGAGTCAAACTGTGTCAAGGATTGGGCTAATGAGGGGGATCATTAGGGTTAAAGGTTAAGAAAGGAACAAGCAGCTTTAAGCTGTCTTTCATGAACTATTAGATACTTATAACACCTCCTTCATGCTACTCCTCTTCTCCTTCTTCCTCTTGTTCCTTCCTTCTCCCCCTCCTCATATTCTTCATCCTCCTTCCTCTCTTCCTTGTCATCCTCCCCCTCTTCTCGCTCCTTGGTGGAGATTTGAACAAACACCTGTTTATGTAGGCAGTATGCATCACACAGACACAGACACTCACACCCCGCTCCGACATCACTGCTCTGCTGCCTGTTCTACCCCGGTGCTGTGGCCCTCTTTCTTTCATTTCACCTGGGTGCTGTCTGTCAAACAGAGCTTTTTACTCCTCCTATAATATATCCTGCACTTTCACACCTTTTATCAGCCTCCCAACGTTACACACAAGGCTTTTGATCACTGAATGGAACAGGGAGAGAAAGAGGCAGGTTGCTCCACCTGTACATGATCACACTCTTTCACATAGTTGTAGACGCACGTACGCGCACACACACATGCAGGAAAGCAAGCACACACACACACACACACACACACGTACACACTTTCCGTTATGCCCGACTCTGTCTTCCACTGCTGACCCATGCAGAGACACAGGCTGTGTTGACAGCAGAGGGGTATGTCAGGGGAGGAGACGTTTTCTTTTATGTGACAGTCAGAGAATGTCGTCTGTCTCTCCCCACTCTGTGTGTGATGTTGCTGGAATTGACCATTTTGTAACTCCCACTCACCGTTCTGAGGAGGTGGGAGCAGTTTGGGGCTGAGGGTTTTCACACACTTGATGGTTCCAAAGTTCTAAACCTAACTGTCTTTGTTATTTCTAGGCCATATCCCTCAACCCTGGACTCCAGAAAGACCCTCATCGCTGGTTGGCTGAGACCAAGGTGCACTACATTATCCATCTTTTATAGAGATGCTTTAAAAGCATTGACCTGCCTGTCGCTATAGGAAGAAACTGCCAGTTCATCAGGTTTTATTTGGTGTGAATGTGAGAGGTGGGGAAACAACCTGCATGTGTGACATTGTGTGTAAGATTGCATATTACTGCATTATGAAAGGAGGCTGTGTATGTATGTGTGTGTGTGTGTGTGTGTGTGTGTGTGTGTGTGTGTGTGTGTGTAACAGTGTGTGTGTGTGTGTGTAACAGTGTGTGTGTAACAGTGTGTGTGTGTGTGTAACAGTGTGTGTGTGTGTGTAACAGTGTGTGTGTGTGTGTGTGTAACACACACACACACTGTAACAGTGTGTGTGTATTCCAGACCAAGCTGCGTTGGCTGTGTGAGGAGGTGTCTGAGCGTGAGGCCAGAGAGAGGAAGCTGCGTCGGCAGGTCCAGCAGGACAGAGAACAGCTGAAGGGACTGAGACAGAGCAGAGACTCTGAACAACAGGCCCTGCTACAGAGACTGGACCAGCAGGAGAAACTACTGCACTCCATCAGCACAGAGAAGAAAGGTAGGGCTGGATCCGATTGATTCATTCATTCATTGATTGAGGGCCAACTTCTAAAGCTCCCGTACATCAGTTTGAGAGCTGCAATATGGGCTCATTCAGACTGGTTCTGTTCCATCTATACGGTTGCTAATGAATTGTCCGACAAGTAGCTAGCCTCATTATGGGAGTGCTCTCACTCTTTTTTTTTTGAGTGTTTCTATCTGCGTGAGTGTCCTTGTTTCTGTCTATAGTTCTTTGTTTGTGTTCATTTCTGCAAATGCACTTGTTTGTTTCTCTAATTTCTTCACATCCACACAGGAAAGCTGGTCTCGCTCCCAGTTTCTAAACTCAACTCTGGATAATGAGTTAGAGAATGGGACCCAGCAGAGCAGGGTCAAAACAACCAGGGGAACCTCTGTCTAATTCTAAACTCCCTCCTCCCTCTGTTTTACACAGACAGACAGACAGAGACAGACAGAGACAGACAGACAGACAGAGACAGACAGACAGAGACAGACAGACAGAGACAGACAGACAGAGACAGACAGACAGAGAGAGACAGACAGAGACAGACAGACAGAGACAGACAGACAGACAGAGACAGACAGAGACAGACAGAGACAGACAGACACAGACAGAGACAGACAGACAAAGACCTAATCAACCAGTCCCTCTCATTCAGAGGTGCTGTGCTGCTCTGCCTGGCTGGAAAACACATGCACACACACACACATGCACATACTGACTGGAACAGCGGGCATTGTGTAGTGATGGGCGGAAAAAATAGATACAGTTACATATCGCTATGTTATTTTGGACAATATTATATCGATGCTTCAATATTGTTTTTGCTAGGTAGCGTTAACTAGTGCTAATCGGCTGTACCTGCGGCAAAACTCCAGTATTTTTCATCGTACAGCTAGTTTGTTCTCCACCTTCTATTTAAATAGGTAGATAGGCTTGCGGTTAAGAGCGTTGGGCCAGTAACCGAAAGGTCGCTGGTTCGAATCCCAAGCCGACTAGAGTCCTCTTTTCCACTCGCACTTAAAAGGGCCTAATTCGAGGTGACTCGAGTGGAATTCTCAAATTCAAGCTGGTTCAAGGGAAACCAGGGCCAGCGCAGCCCAGTTTCACAACTGGTGCCAGCCCGACTAGAATTCTGGCTGGTGACGCCGTTACTATGCAACCACCAGCTGATCACTGCTGGATGCTGACAACGTTTAGCTAGCTCGTCTGGGCTTGTTGCTGTTAGCTAGCACATGGACAAGCAGTTCTGCAGTAGTCAGACTTGACACAAATGACCACCGTAGCTTCATTCATTTTTTTGCTACACAATAAACTTTTATGAGAACAGTCATCCCTCTAATGGTAGCTACCTAATGTTAGCCAGCAAATCAGTTGAAACAAGCTCTCTAGCTAACGTGAGCTAGCAGGAATTATAGCTGGCTAGGTTGTATTTAAAGCTAGCTAGCTACATCATATCAAATTTGTCGTCTAGTTTGCTTGGTTAGTTTGCTCCTGTAAGTCACTCTGGATAAGAGCATCTGCTAAATGACTAAAATGTAAATAGTGAGCCAACATGTTTTCAGCATTTTTATTTCCATGACTGATCAAAACTCATTTTCTCATGCTCTCTCTTGTCTCTCTGCAGCAGACATACAGTGCATTCGGAAAGTATTCGGACTCCTTGACTTTTTCCACATTTTGTTACGTTACAGCCTTTTTCTAAAATTGATTAAATACATTTTTTCCCTCATCAGTCTACACACAGTACTCCAAAATTACAAAGTGAAAACAGATCTTTAGAAAATTGTGCAAATTTATATTAAAATAAATATTCAGACTCTTTACTCTATACTTTGTTGAAGCACCTTTGGCAGAGATTACAGCCTTGAGTCTTCTTGGGTATGACGCTACAAGCTTGGCACACCTGTATTTGGGGAGTTTCTCCCACCCTTCTCTGCAGATCCTCTCAAGCTCTGTCAGGTTGGATGGGGAGCGTCGCTGCACAGCTATTTTCAGGTCTCTCCAGAGATGTTCGATCGGGTTCAAGTCCGGTGTCTGGCTGGGCCACTCAAGGACATTCAGAGACTTGTCCCGAAGCTACTCCTGCGTTTTCTTGGCTGTTTTTGCTTTGTCATTATGGGGTATTGTGTGTAGATTGATTAGGGGGGGAAAAAAACTATTTAATCCATTTTAGAAAAAGGCAGTAACGTAACAAAATGTCGAAAAAGTCAAGGGTTCTGAATACTTGAGCAATATGTTTGGAACATCAAATCGCAATAAATTCGCTGTATCGAATAGCAATGCATATAGATTTGTGGGAATCGCAATATATATCGTATCTGCACCTAAGTATTGTGATAATATCGTGTTGTGAGGTCCCTGGCAATTCCCAGCCCTAGCATTGTGGATCCTAGACACCATAATAATGATGCTGTCTAACCCCCAACTCTGCCTTACCCTTGGCAAAGAGGCTGGTAGCAGTATATCTTTGGCGCTATTTGGTACAAAACAACAGAAAACTAAATTGGGCCATCTGGAAATGTTCTCTCTCATTAGGAACGAACAACAACACATCTTAGGTGTATTTGTTCTATCTAGATCCAAGGTTCACTGGGTGCACTCCTCATGTCTTTGATCATCGTAACTTATTGCTGACAGTTGCTGCCAGTGCCAGTGTTATTTTCTCCCTCTTACCTTTCAATTGCTTAAGTTCTGGTCACCCAACTTAAAGGACAAGTGCAGGCAAAAACTTGATTTTCCGGTGCTTTATATATATTTACACACTATGAGGTTGGAATAATTCAGTGGAATTGTGAAAATGATGATAATGCCCTTTTAGTGTAAGAGCTGTTTAAAATACTTTGAAATTAGTTAATAGAACGATAAGAAAAAGTGTTCCAAACCTCTCTGCCAATAACAGCTAGTTTTCAGTTTTCCCCTCCCCACTCAGACCACTCCCAGACAGTCCTAGCAAAATTATTCCTTCAGAAATTGCTCTTTGCTAAGAAGCTTTTTTTGTTTATTTTTTAACATTTTAATTGAAAACAATCACAGTTGATATTGAGATAAAAATGGCTGCATTGGACCTTTAACTTTTGCCTTCTTTCTAAAACACTACTGTGGTACATTTCAGAGGAACTTTTTCACTTGCATAAGGTTGAACTTTTAACGCCTCCCTCTTTACTAAAAAACTGTCTGTGGTAGATAGCTGTTGGATTACAGGTCTTGCCTCAGTAACTGACTTCCACAGATTTAGATTAAACAGAGATACTGACTGAGCGAGGAGAGGAGGCACTTTGGCAGTCTGTGACTTTCTCTCTCACGTCATGGCCCGTCGTCTTTAGACCCATTTAGACTGCCAGAGTCTCGCTGGCGCCATCTGGAGATTGGCAAATGGCTTAGTGGCTGCTTGGGTATTCCTGAGGTGGCGGCATGGGGTCCCGGCTGGGTGGGCACGGGGTGGTGTGTATGTGTGCGCCTGTGTGTGAGTGTGAGTGACAGAAGTGGGTGGTGCGGCAGGGACTGAGGGACAAGGATAGAAAGCAGTCATCCAATGCCTAGTGATTGAATATTGAATATGTGCTAGACAGCACTGAGGGAGTGGGAGACCAATGAGCAGCAATCACAGCAATCTATTTGATTTTACCAAGTTTAGGGAGGTGTTGAGACTTGACAGCAAGGTTGTTCAGAATAGAAAAAGTTTCATAGCTACTGATAGCATGGCTAGTCAAGGTGTTAAGACTGTGGGTCCCAAATGCCTCTGTCTATGTGGATATTATATTAGATGGTAATTATTCATGTGTTTGTCTCATTAAAGAGCTCTTGGAGAAGACTCGGAGGAAGGAAGATGAGATGAGAAGTCTTCAGGTGAGCCAGAAACTCATGTTAGGCCTTGCTCCTCTGTCTGAACAATGCAGCCTGCTGTCCAGGGATCCAACACACAGACTCACCCTCAGACAGAGTACCCTGTTATAGTATTAGTACCACCCCCTCACTCTCTAATATTAAACATCACTACACACCATCCCCAATCCAGCTATAACTTCCGAAACCCCATGGCAGTCCTGTCCAGTCACACAGTCTGTTTTCCATTTTCTCCTCAAAGTGGTGTGTGTAGGCGTGTGTGTGTGTGTGTGTGTGTGTGTGTGTACTGGGGCCCATCTGTGTCTGTACGTGTGCACCTGCTATAATTAATCAGTCCCCTCAGACCCAGCCAGGCCTTTAATTAAGAAGAATGAGGAGTCGAGTTCAGCCACACACTGTTGCTACCCAACAGCCAGCGCAGTCACAGGACGGAGGGAAGAGGGGAGGAGGGGGAGAGAGGGAGGGAATCTAGCAGGTGTGGGGATGGATGAGTGACAGGCCGATAAGACGCATCGCATCACTTATGCATCATTAGAGACCCAACATCACTCAGGAGTCAGATGAGAGGGAGGAGAGAGACGAGCGTGTTCTCAACAGCTTCTTCTGTTCCATCCCCTGTTGCTTGTTTATTGGCAATACACATGCCGTGCTGACTCACTCACTGTTTAGTGGTTTAAGATTTGACATTCTTTCAGTCGCTCATACACGTCTCTTGGTCATTAAACAATAAGTAACTGTAGTTCTTGTGTCTTCACAGGATCGTATCTTGGATCTGGAGATGGTGAGATTTTACTGTTTATACACTACATGACCAAAAGTATGTGGACACCAGCTCGTCGAACATCTCATTCCAAAATCATGGGCATTAATATGGAGTTGGTCCCCCCTTTGCTCCTATAACAGCCTCCACTCTTCTGGGAAGGCTTTCCACTAGATGTTGGAACATTGCTGCGGGGACTTGCTTCCTTTCAGCCACGAGCATTTTTGAGGTCGGGCACTGATGTTGGGCGATTAGGCCTGGCTTGTAGTCGGCGTTCCAAGCCATCCCAAAGGTGTTCGATGGGGTTGAGGTCAGGGCTCTGTGCAGGCCAGTCAAGTTCTTCCACACCGATCTCGACAAACCATTTCTGTATGGATCTCGCTTTATGCATGGGGGCATGGTCATGCTGAAACAGGAAAGGACCTTCCCCAAACTGTTGCCACAAAGTTGGAAGCACAGAATCGTCTAGAATGTAATTGTATGCTGTAGTGTTAAGATTTTCCTTCACTAGAACTAAGGGGCCTAGCCTGAAACCATGAAAAACAGCCCCAAACATTACAGTTGGCACTATGCATTGGGGCAGGTAGCGTTCTCCTGGCATCCGCCAAACGCAGATTATTCCGTTGGACTACCAGATGGTGAAGTGTGATTCATCACTCCAGAGAACGTGTTTCCACTGCTCCAGAGTCCAATGGCGGCACGCTTTACACCACTCCAGCCGATGCTTGGCATTGCGCATGGTGATCTTAGGCTTGTGTGCGGCTGGCTTTTTACATGCTTCAGCACTCGGCAGTCCCGTTCTGTGAGCTTGTGTGGCCTACCACTTAGCAGCTGAGCCGTTGTTGCTCCTAGACGTTTCCACTTCACAATAACAGCACTTACAGTTGACCGGGGCAGCTCTAGCAGGGCAGAAATTTGACTAACTGACTTGTTGGAAAGGTGGCATCCTATGACGGTGCCACGTTGAAAGTCACTGAGCTCTTCAGTAAGGCCATTCTACTGAGTGTGTTTCCTTTTAATATAGCAAACAAAACTTATTAACAGATATATGGCTTCCCTCTTGATAGCTTGATGGACTCAAACTAGAGAAGGTTTGTTTGTAAACTTTGATGCCTAACTTGAAAATGGTTAATTGTTAGTGATTGTTTTTATAGAAGTGCTGAGCATCATTCAATCACCATAAAGGTAACATGATCAGGTATATGTAAGGATCATTAGACACTGACAAGGGTCCACTGACTCAACAACAAACATTGACCCCTGGCAGGAGAATGTAAACACCCCACTCAAACATCCGTTATCACCCGCTCCACGTCATGTCAGCCCAAACAGACAGACACATTCGTTAGGGATATCGAAAGGCCGTATTGACCTAAGAGTATTTATGGGCAGTGAAGCTATGAAGCGATCTGTATTCTCTCTCTATCCATCACAATTATGTGTCGCGGCCAGCGGCCTCGACTTCAATTAGCTTTAATAAAAACCCTGCGAAGCCCATCCATTCAGATCATTCCTGCTTACTGCTACAACATGGTGGCACAGGGTATCGACCTGTGTGTGTATGTACAGTGCATTCGGAAATATTGAGACCCCTTCCCCTTTTCCACATTTTGTTACGTTACAGCCTTATTCTAAAATGTATTTAAAGATGTCCTCATCAATCTACACACTATCCCATTATGACAAACCGAAAACAGGTTTTTAGAAATGTTTGCAAATGTATACAAAAAATAAATAAAAAAATACCTTATTTACATAAGTATTCAGACCCTTTGCTATGAGACTCAAAATTGAGCTCAGGTGCATCCTGTTTCTATTGATCATCCTTGAGATGTTTCTACAACTTGATTGGAGTCCACCTGTGGTACATTCAATTGATTGGACATGATTTGGAAAGGCACACACCTGTCTATATAAGGTCCCACAGTTGAATTGTCCGTAGAGCTCCGAGACAGGACTGTGTCGAGGCACAGATCTGGGGAAGGGTACCAAAACCTTTCTGCAGCATTGAAGGTCCCCAAGAACACAGTGGCCTCCATCATTCTTAAATGGAAGAAGTTTGGAACCACAAAGACTCCTCCTAGAGCTGGCCACCCGGCCAAACTGAGCAATCGGGGGAGAAGGGCCTTGGTGAGGGAGGTGACCAAGAACCCGATGGGCACTCTAACAGAGCTCCAGAGTTCCTCTGTGGAGATGGGAGAACCTTTCAGTAAGACAACCATCTCTGCAGCACTCCACCAATCAGGCCTTTATAATAGTGGCCAGACGGAAGCCACTCCTCAGTAAAAGGCACATGACAGCCCGCTTGGAGTTTGCCAAAAGGCACCTAAAGGACTGACCATGAGAAACAAGATTCTCTGGTCTGATGAAACCAAGATTGAACTCTTTGGCCTGAATGCCAAGCGTCACGTCTGGAGGAAACTTGGCACCATCCCTACGGTGAAGCATGGTGGTGGCAGCATCATGCTGTGGGGATGTTTTTCAGCAGCGGGGACTGGGAGACTAGTCAGGATCGAGGGAAAGATGATCAGAGCACAAAGTACAAAGTACAGAGAGAACCTTGATGAAAACCTGCTCCAGAGCGCTCAGGACCTCAGACTGGGGCGAATGTTCACCTTCCAACAGGACAACAACCCTAAGCACACAGCCAAGATAACGCAGGAGTGGCTTCAGGACAAGTCTCTGAATGTCCTTGAGTGGCCAGAGCCCAGTCTTGAACCCGATCAAACATCTCTGGAGAGTGATATGGAGTGATAGCCTTCCTTCTTCAAGATCCCTTTTACCCTGTACAAATCTCCCACATCACCACCACCAAAGCACCCCCAGACCATCACATTGCCTCCACCATGCTTGACAAATTGCATCAAGCACTCCTCCAGCATCTTTTCATGTTGTTCTTTGTGATCCGAACACCTCAAACTTCAATTCGTCTGTCCATAACACTTTTTTCCAATATTCCTCTGTCCAGTGTCTGTGTTCTTTTGCCCATCTTAATCTTTTCTTTTTATTGGCCAGTCTGAGATATGGCTTTTTCTTTGCAACTCTGCCTAGAAGGTCAGCATCCCGGAGTCGCCTCTTCACTGTTGACGTTGAGACTGGTGTTTTGCGGGTACTATTTAATGAAGCTGCCAGTTGAGGACCTGTGAGGCGTCTGTTTCTCAAACTAGACACTAATGTATTTGTCCTCTTGCTCAGTTGTGCACCGGGGTCTCCCACTCCTCTTTCTATTCTGGTTAGAGCCAGTTTGCGCTGTTCTGTGAAGGGAGTACTACACAGCGTTGTACGAGATCTTCAGTTTCTTGGCAATTTCTCGCATGGAATAGCCTTCATTTCTCAGAACAAGAATAGACTGACGAGTTTCAGAAGAAAGTTATTTGTTTCTGGCCATTTTGAGCCTGTAATCAAACCCACAATTGCTGATGCTCCAGATACTCAACTAGTCTCAAGAAGTACAGTTTTATTGCTCCTTTAATCAACACAACAGTTTTCAGCTGTGCTAACATCATTGCAAAAGGGTTTTCTAATGATCAATTAGCCTTTTAAAATGATAAACTTGGATTAGCAAACACAACGTGCCATTGGAACACAGGACTGATGGTTGCTGATAATGAGCCTCTGTACGCCTATGTACAGTGAGGGAAACAAGTATTTGATCCCCTGCTGATTTTGTACGTTTGCCCACTGACAAAGAAATGATCAGTCTATAATTTTAATGGTAGGTTTATTTGAACAGTGAGAGACAGAATAACAAAAACAATTTCCAGAAAAACGCATGTCAAAAATGTTATAAATTGATTTGCATTTTAATGAGGGAAATAAGTACTTGACCCCCTCTCAATCAGAAAGATTTCTGGCTCCCAGGTGTCTTTTATACAGGTAACGAGCTGAGATTAGGAGCACACTCTTAAAGGGAGTGCTCCTAATCTCAGTTTGTTACCTGTATAAAAGACACCTGTCCACAGAAGCAATCAATCAATCAGATTCCAAACTCTCCACCATGGCCAAGACCAAAGAGCTCTCCAAGGATGTCAGGGACAAGATTGTAGACCTACACAAGGCTGGATTGGCTACAAGACCATCGCCAAGCAGCTTGGTGAGAAGGTGACAACAGTTGGTGCGATTATTCGCAAATGGAAGAAACACAAAATAACTGTCAATCTCCCTCGGCCTGGGGCTCCATGCAAGATCTCACCTCGTGGAGTTGCAATGATCATGAGAACGGTGAGGAATCAGCCCAGAACTACACGGGAGGATCTTGTCAATGATCTCAAGGCAGCTGGGACCATAGTCACCAAGAAAACAATTGGTAACACACTACGCCGTCCGTGAAGGACTGAAATCCTGCAGCGCCCGCAAGGTCCCCCTGCTCAAGAAAGCATATATACATGCCCGTCTGAAGTTTGCCAATGAACATCTGAATGATTCAGAGGAGAACTGGGTGAAAGTGTTGTGGTCAGATGAGACCAAAATGGAGCACTTTGGCATCAACTCGCCGTGTTTGGAGGAGGAGGAATACTGCCTATGACCCCAAGAACACCATCCCCACCGTCAAACATGGAGGTGGAAACATTATGCTTTGGGGGTGTTTTTCTGCTAAGGGGACAGGACAACTTCACCGCATCAAAGGGACGATGGAAGGGGCCATGTACTGTCAAATCTTGGGTGAGAACCTCCTTCCCTCAGCCAGGGCATTGAAAATGGGTCGTGGATGGGTATTCCAGCATGACAATGACCCAAAACACACGGCCAAGGCAACAAAGGAGTGGCTCAAGAAGAAGCACATTAAGGTCCTGGAGTGGCCTAGCCAGTCTCCAGACCTTAATCCCATAGAAAATCTGTGGAGGGAGCTGAAGGTTCGAGTTGCTAAACGTCAGCCTCGAAACCTTAATGACTTGGAGAAGATCTGCAAAGAGGAGTGGGACAAAATCCCTCCTGAGATGTGTGCAAACCAGGTGGCCACCTACAAGAAACGTCTGACCTCTGTGATTGCCAACAAGGGTTTTGCCACCAAGTACTAAGTCATGTTTTGCAGAGGGGTCAAATACTTATTTCCCTCATTAAAATGCAAATCAATTTATAACATTTTTGACAGGATGTTGTTATTCTGTCTCTCACTGTTCAAATAAACTTACCATTAAAATTATAGACTAATCATGTCTTTGTCAGTGCGCAAACGTACAACATCAGCAGGGGATCAAATACTTTTTTCCTTCACTGTAGATATTCCATTTAAAATCAGCCGTTTCCAGCTACAATAGCCATTTACAACATTAACAATGTCTACACTGTATTTCTGATCAAGTTGATGTTATTTTAATGGACAAAACAATTGCTTTTCTTTCGAAACAAGAACATTTCTAAGTGACCCCAAACTTTTGAACGGTAGTGTACATATCCTTTTAAAAAATATATTTCCCTTTATTACTTTCCAACCCCACCACCCCTTCCCTAATTGGAGTAAACTAGTGAACAACAATGCTTAGGCCTCTACTTCCAGCTTATACATACTATATACATTTTATGGACACAGTCAATTTTACAAGAATTATATTTTGTTTGTTTTTACTCCTGCACTTCCTCTACCCACAACCTCTCCGATCATTTTCATGATGTCCATCTGGTTTGCTTCTATATGCCATATCTTTCTAACTGTGCTCTTTCACAAAAGCTCTCAACCTATAACCTATATACTTATTATGGACACAGTATGCTTTACATTAGTTATCTTGTTGTTAGTTGTTGTTAGTTGTAATTAGTCCCATCCTTCAGCTCCATTCAACACCTCCCATCTATCACTTAACACCATCCATATTGGATTTCTATTTGCCATATCTTTTTCAACTGTACTGTGATGTTTCACAAAAGTTCTGAATCCTTCCATTCTCATTGTTTCTACAGATTGTAAATCTGGGTGAAATACTTACTGACTCGAGACATTTCAGCTTTTCATTTTTAATTAATTTGTAAAAATATCTAAAAAACATAATTCCACTTTGACATTATGGGGTATTAGGTGTAGTCCAGTGACAAAAGATCGCAATTTAATCCATTTTAAATTCAGGCTGTAACACAACAAAATGTGGAAAAAGTCAAGGGGTGTGAATACTTTCTGAAGGAACTGTACATGTATTGTGTAGAAAAGAAATAACGGCACACTGCACTTTCCTAGTATCACTAGTTCATTTAAGCTCACTTATAGCAGCCTACTGCCTTTGTCAGAGCTTTAGTACATTGCGTGACAGTACAATAAAGCCTTTTGAATTGACATGAATAGTAGTTGGAAATAGCACCTTGCTGTGTTGTATTGTGGGTAAAGCTAATGTGCAGTATATTAACCTCCCTGTATTCCTTTATCTATTCAGAGCACCAGGCTGGCGGTAGATCACCTGGAGTCAGTCCCTGAGAAGCTGTGTCTGCTGGACAACTTCAAAGACCTAGAGGTGAGGCTCACTGGGGAGACCTGGGATGTACTGAATATATGGGTCATTCCACGAAATGAGGGCCTTTTGCATCCCTTTGATATTCTAAGTAGAAATTGTGCACAAATATTGAATTTTAAAAGCTTGTTATATTAAACTAAGTGCCCTTTAATATAGACCACATGGAGAATTCCATAAATCTGATATTTAATATGAAAAAAGACTTGCTAAAGTGACTAAATTCAGCATTTTGACATGTCCCTCTGTGCATCCTCTGTGACTTCTAGGAAGATTTTAACCCACTTAACCCCAACTTTTCTCCAAAGCTTTCACCATCATTGTAATGCCCTAATTATTTTGTTGCTTTGACAAAGTCATTTCTGAAGATTATTATTTCTATTGTGATACATTTTAAGGTAAATAAAACATCTGTCCTTCATTTTAACGGGATACTTCAGGATTTTGAAGCCCTTTATCTACTTACCCAGAGTCAGATGAACTTGTGGATACCATTTTCCTTCATACTGGACACAGAGACATAAAAATGGTATCCATGAGTTCATCTGACACTGGGGAAATAGATCAAGGGCTTCATTGACAAAATCCCGAAATATCCCTTTAAGGTCAACACTGTTACATGAACAGAACTCTCGTTTTAATATGGTAAAACTATTCCTTTTTAAGTATTTTTTTCAAAAGAGACATTTAACACCTACTAGTGAAATCATAGTGTAAAAGCAGGTGAGCTCGTTCTACTCTTTTTGGCCTTTTTCTCGTGTTTTGTGGTGGAAAACTCAGCGGGTCGAGCATAACACGTCAACCCTGTTACCCATAGATAGACAGGCTATAATTTTTTTACCAATTGACATTTTTTTGTGAAGCTTGCATTCAATTGCCCCTCCCTGTTGCACACAACAAGCTTCCATGGCTGACTTAAGATGAAGTCATCAACCCTGTTACGGTCAACCCTTTAACTTTATTTGGGACTTATTAGGTACTTACTATAGTCATTCTTTTATTGAACCTCTTGAGATGGGAAAAGGTGTTTTTTATTAAGTTGAACATCTGTTTATGACAGAATGTTAAAATAAGGTGAAATACACCTTATTATCACCAAGTTACACTAAAAAGGCATCTAATTGGTGGAACGACCCATATGTCTATAGGGGAGACCTGCGGCCTGGGTCTTTCTATGTGTTTGATCTCTTCTTAATCTTAGTGACTTGATTCTAAAAAAAGACACCAACCTAGGTGTCTATCGAACCTGATCCTAGATCTGTGCAACTTCAACTTCAAACCGATTTTGTGATGAGTTCCATTTTGTGCCTGGTTTGTGTAGTGAGTGACTGTTTCCATGTTGTTTATATAGGAGTCACAGCGGCAGAAGGAGTTGGTGGAACAACGTTACATCAAATACAAAGAGATCGTTGGAGTCCTGCAGCACCAGCTGGATGAGTCCAAACGACAGATACAGGAGTGCAGGGTACTGGACTACATTACCCACAATGCACTTTATGTATATCCTACATCAAATATCAGCTTTATGATACCTACAAACCCAAGTAGAGACTTTGCCACTTTGCCATTTCAATACTTGGCCTGTTCAAAGAGCACTTTGTACTCTTACTCCCAGAGCTATCCAGCCTATGACACCTGCTGAGTTCACTGGTGTATCGTTTGTCCACAACTGGCATTTGCATCTAGTATGAATATTCCAAGCCAATGTTGGCAAACACAATTGACAGAGTGAGACAGAGGGTAATAACTTCCAATCAGTCCTAATCATCGTATTTATCTTCTCACGCGGCCAACAGAGAAGCATCATTGCATTGTTGACAGCAGATTGCCATCAGTGTGTGTCTTCCCCCCTCACAGCAGCCACATCGTAGACACACACACAGCAGCCACATCGTAGCCACTTCTTAAAGTGCATTAATCTGCCAGACGACTCTGCTGCGTTGCCAAACGACTCCCGTGTTGATCCATAAGTGCTGATTGCATTAGTGCCTAATGGCAAGCCGCCCACCAGGAGTTTATTTAAAGAAAGTAGAATGAAGAAAAGTCTTCATCTACTTAGCTTTCACTTTGATTGCAGTTAGCAGCAATCTGTTTCAGTACAGAATGCTGATAGTGTCTGTTCTCATTTAACGCTGGTCCTGGGGACCCACAGGATAAGCACTGAGCAGAACTTTTTTGCAGCCTAGTATTTTAACACCTGATCAACTAATCAAAAGCTTGAAGATTGGTTGCTTAGTTTAATCCATCGTGCTAGTGTTGGACTGGAACAAAACCCTGCTCGCCCTGTTGGCTCAACCAGGACAAAGTCTAAAGAGCACTGCAATAATACATTTCACATAAGGTTGGATGTTATGCCAGTTTGCAGTGTGTGTGTGTGTGTGTACTCAAGACTGTACCCTCTTCCAGGATGACAAGTTGGATGCTACAACTCGGAGCATTCGATTAGCTGCTCTGTCCTCCTCCATAAGAGGCCCTAGCACTTTCCTCACCAGCTCCATGCTTACTGACACCACATGTGAGTACACAGCCGCAATGTTCACCTCTTGTCTCCTCTTGAAGAAGGCAACGGTTGTGATATGTGGTTGTTTTACCTACTTCAGTTGACTGCACTGATTGTAATAGCGTCTGCTAAATGTAATGTCTCAGACTCTGTAATGTAAACAAACTCTGTGAAAGAAGCATTGCGTTAAATAGCCCTAAAACATGACTCTTAATAGGTTGTGCTTAGTGTTGTAACTCCTCCCTTTGTCCCTGTGGTCCTTAGCTCCACACAAACGCCTGGCCTCTCCAGACTGCACCCTGGACTATAGCCTTTCTCTGGACCACCGAGCCTCTCCTGCTGTCAACGGTGCCCACTCTCACTCTATCTCCGACCACCTCAACAGTAAAACATAGTGCCCACCATCAGGAATTCACACTGGTTACATACATGTATTCATCAACAAGCCTTACATTATAGAGTTGGATAGAGGGCTCACACAGAAGTGTGTTTTAACATGGGCATAGAGGCAAAGATAGTTTCTAAGTCTATGCCTTACTGACAGGACAATCAACACCCATCTCTATGCAGTACCCTGGTTGCAAACCATCACAACAGTCTTCCATGACTACCTCAACCAAAAAAACAGCCAACCAAGCCAAGCTGCGTAACTAGCAGCCAACCTAGAAAACAGCTAGCATGAAGCCAAGCATACCTACTAAGTGCGATTGTGATAAGTAAAGCAGGGTTAAACCTAGTGGAGGGTTCATAGCACATAGCTTGGGATATCTTATAAGAGAACCACCAAATGTAGCACTGTGAAAGACGATTGTAGCTTTTTTATAAACTGATATTGATGAAGATTTTTCATTGAATGTTACTTTGTGCAAAGAAAGCATGCACAGCTTAAAAAACCCATGAAGTTTGACTGAAAATAGATTGAAGAACCAGTGATAAGCCAAAGTAGGTCAACATTCCAACATTTCATACTAAAGTTACATTTTTGTATATATATATATATGTATTTCAACACTCAAACACTTATATGAAAAACACTGATTTATGTCCCAATTTTTGTTTTTTTATTACAGTTTTTGTACTCTGATGTTATCATGCCAATGTGTTTTATCGGAAAGATTAAATGTGATTATTATATTTATGCTGACATTCTGTGAAAGCTGTGGTGCCTTTCTAACTTTATGTAGCCTATGCATTAACCATATATAATGTTTTGTGCCTGTGCTGTACCTGTGCATTCATTCAACAGACTTGACAAGTCACAATGAGTTTGTTTTTCTATTCAAACGTTTTTACCACTACCTTAATTATAAAAAAAAAAAAATGTTTTACTTCTATGCAGTTGTGGAAATATGTATTTATTTGTAAAGAAGAGAGAAAAAAATGCCAATAAGCACAATAGTATATTTTTGTGAAATGTAGAAAATAATATATGCAATAAAATAAATCTCCACAGGTCTGTAAGGATCATTTTCCTGAGCCCTGGTCTCATCCATTTCAAAATGAAGTGTTGCTTCCTAAGGCTTGTAAGTCTCTGTGGTATGTCAATTGTTGTTGCCTTTGTCCATCTGTTGAGAAAAAGACTCGTAGCATGGGCTTATATTTGTAGGTTTATACAGTTGAAGTCGGAAGTTGACATACACCTTAGCCAAATACATTTAAACTCAGTTTTTCACAATTCCTGACATTTAATCCTAGTAAAAATTCCCTGTTTTAGGTAAGTTAGGATCACCACTTTATTTTAAGAATGTGAAATGTCAGAATAATAGTAGAGAGAATGATTTATTTCAGCTTTTATTTCTTTCATCACATTCCCAGTGGGTCAGAAGTTTACATACACTCAATTAGTATTTGGTAGCATTGCCTTTAAATTGTTTAACTTGGGTCAAACGTTTCGGGTAGCCTTCCACAAGCTTCCCACAATAAGTTGGGTGAATCTTGGCCCATTCCTCCTGGTTGGGATGGTGTTGTTCGGTTTGCAAGCCTTCCCCTTTTTCCTCCAAACATAACGATGGTCATTATGGCCAAACAGTTCTATTGTTGTTTCATCAGACCAGAGTACATTTCTCCAAAAAGTATGATCTTTGTCCCCATGTGCAGTTGCAAACCGTAGTCTGGCTTTTTTATGGCGGTTTTGGAGCAGTGGCTTCTTCCTTGCTGAGCGGCCTTTCAGGTTATGTCGATATAGGACTCGTTTTACTATGGATATAGATACTTTTGTACCTGTTTCCTCTAGCATCTTCACAAGGTCCTTTGCTGTTGTTCTGGGATTGATTTGCACTTTTCGCACCAAAGTACGTTCATCTCTAGGAGACAGATGTCCCATGGTGTTTATACTTGCGTACTATTGTTTGTACAGATGAACGTGGTACCTTCAGGCGTTTGGAAATTGCTCCCAAGGATGAACCAGACTTGTGGAGGTGTGCAAAAAAATGTCTGAGGTCTTGGCTGATTTCTTTTGATTTTCCCATGATGTCAAGCAAAGAGGCACTGAGTTTGAAGGTAGGCCTTGAAATACATCCACAGGTATACCTCCAATTGACTAAAATGATGTCAATTAGCCTATCAGAAGCTTCTAAAGCCATGACATCATTTTCTGGAATTTTCCAAGCTGTTTAAAGGCACAGTCAACTTAGTGTATGTCTGTAAACAATTGTTGGAAAAATTACTTGTGTCATGCACAAAGTAGATGTCCTAACTGACTTGCCAAAACTATAGTTTGTTAACAAGAAAGTTGTGGAGTGGTTGAAAAATGAGTTTTAATGACTCCAACCTAAGTGTATGTAAACTTCCGACTTCAACTGTATGTCCACTCCAGCCTTATTTCAGCTTCAATTTACATTTACCAAATGCATCTGTACTTCAGAAGAGCCAATACAAATCTGCTGAACAGTAAAAACAAGTCTAGAAAGTTCTGTGTGTTTTCAATTTCGAGTTAATGGATTTATGTCCTGTGTTGTGCACATAAGATTTCACACCTCGGACCACATGTAGCTATGCTCTCTCTTTCCCTCAGGAACTTACAAAGTTACGGTAGCAGCCTCATTCTCAACCTTTCAAAGCTGAATACTGTACTTTCATGTATCACTGTCTCTGTAAAATTCACTGATGATCTTTGTTGATCGAAACTTCTCTGCAGTGCATTCAGAAAGTATTCAGACCCGTTGACCTTTTCCACATTTTGTTACGTTACAGCCTTATTTAAAAATTGATTAAATTGTTTTTTCCATCCTCATCAATATACACACAATACCCCATAATGACAAAGCAAAAACAGGTTTTTAGAAATATTTGCTAATTTATAAAAATAAAAAAAAACTGATATTTAGACCCTTTAGTCATTACTTTGTTGAAGCACCCTTGGCAGTGATTACAGCCTCACGTCTTCTTGGGTATGAAGCTACAAGCTTGGCACACCTGTATTTGGGGAGTTTCTCCCATTCTTCTCTGCAGATCCTCTCAAGCTCTGTTAGGTTGGATGGGGAGCGTCTCTGCACAGCTATTTTTAGGTCTCTCCAGAGGTGTTCGATCGGGTTCAAGTCCAGGCCACTCAAGGACATTCAGAGACTTGTCCCGAAGCCACTCCTGCGTTGTCTTGGCTGTGTGCTTAGGGCCGTTGTCCTGTTGGAAGGTGAACCTTCGCCAAAGTCTGAGGTCCTGAGCGCTCTGGAGCAGGTTTTCATCAAGGATCTCTCTGTACTTTGCTCCGTTCATCTTTCCCTCGATCCTGACTAGTCTCCCAGTCCTTGCCGCTGAAAAACATCCCCACAGCATGATGCTTCACTGTAGGGATGGTGCCAGGTTTCCTCCAGACGTGATGCTTGGCATTCAGGCCAAAGAGTTCAATCTTGGTTTCATCAGACCAGAGAATCTTGTTTCTTATGGTCTGAGAGTCTTTAGGTACCTTTTGCCAAACTCCAAGCGGGCTGTCATGTGCCATTTACTGAGGAGTGGCTTCCGTCTGGCCACTCTACCATAAAGGCCTGATTGGTGCAGTGCTGCAGAGATGGTTGTCCTTCTGGAAGGTTCTCCACAGCGGAACTCTGGAGCTCTGTCAGAGTGACCATTGGGTTCTTGGTCACCTTCCTGACCAAGGCCCTTCTCCCCCGATTGCTCAGTTTGGCCGGGCGGCCAGCTCTAGGAAGAGTCTTGGTGGTTCCAAACTTCTTCCATTTAAGAATGATGGAGGCCACTGTGTTCTTGGGGAACTTCAATGCTGCAGACATTTTTTGGTACCCTTCCCCTGATCTGCGCCTCGACACAATCCTGTCTCGGAGCTCTACGGACAATTCCTTCGACCTCATGGCTTGGTTTTTGCTCTTGACATGCACTGTCAACTGTGGGACCTTATATAGAAAGGTGTGTGCCTTTCCAAATCATGTCCAATCAATTGAATTTACCACAGGTGGACTCCAAGTTGTATAAACATCTCAAGGATGATCAATGGAAACAGGATGCACCTGAGCTCAATTTTGAGTATCATAGCAAAGGGTCTGAGTACTTATGTAAATAAGATATATCTGTTTTTTATTTGTAATAAATGTGGAACATTTTTAGCTTCGTCATTGTGGATTCTTTTTATATAAGGCTGTATCTTAACTAAATGTCAAAAAGATCAAGGGGTCTGAATATTTTCCGAAGGCACTGTATCTACTTGACACTGTAGGTGTTTTGTTAGGTGTGACGTCATTACGTCCAGCTGTTTTTATCGACAAAAGATAGTTAAGTGGAAACGCACCCTAACAGGCAAATGTTGCATCTATTTTCAAAACAATCACTGGATGAGTTAATTGAATCATACAGTGCCTTCAGAAAGGATTCATATCCCTTGACTTATTCCACATTTTCTTGTGTTACAGCCTGAATTCAAAATGTATTAAATTCTCTTTTCTCACTATCTACACAATACCACAGAATGACAAAGTGAAAACATGTTTAAACAGAAATATCTCATTTACATACATATTCATACCCCTAAGTCAATACACATTAGAATCACATTTGGCAGTGATTACAGCTGTGAGTCTCTCTGGGTAAGTCTCTTAAGAGCTTTGCACACCTGGATTTAAAATTCTTCAAGCTCTGTCAAGTTGGCTGTCTTGCCATAGATTTTCAAGCCAATATATTTCAAAACTGTAACTAGGCCACTCAGGATCATTCACTGTCTTTTTGGTAAGCAACTTGGCATTAAGTTTTAGGTTACTGTCCTGCTGTAAGGTGAATTTGTCTCCCAGTGTCAGTTGGAAAGCAGACTGAAGTTTTCCTGTAAGATTTTGCCTGTGCTTAGCTCTATTCTGTTTCTTTTTATCAACAAAAAAAAACCTCCCTAGTTCTTACCAATGACAAGCATACCCATAACATGATGCAGCCACAACTATGCTTGAAAATATGAAGGTTGGTACTCATTGATTTGTTGTGTTGGATTTGCCCCAAACATAACGCTTTGTATTAATTGCTTTGCCACATTTTTGGCAGTATTACAGCAAACAGGATGCATGTTTTGGAATATTGTTATTCTACAGGCTTCCTTGTTTTCACTCTGTCATTTAGGTTATCATTGTGGAGTAACTACAATGTTGTTGATCCATCCTCAGTTTTCTCCTATCACAGCCATTAAACTCTTTAACTGTTTTAAAGTCACCATTGGCCTCATGGTGAAATCCCTGAGTGGTTTCCTTCCTCTCTGGCAACTGAGTTAGGAAGGACACCTGTATCTTTGTAGTGACTGGGTGCATTGAAACATCATCCAAAGTGTCATTAATAACTTCACCATGCTCAAAGGGATATTCATTGTCTGCTTTTAATTTGATTTTGCCTATCTACCAATAGGTGCACTTCTTTCTTTTTTTTTTTTCTTTTTTTTTTCTTTTTTTTTGGGGGGGGGGGGAATGGATCAGCTTAATATTGCAGATAGATTGTATCTTCTATCAATGTAATTGTCTGCATCACTTCCAATCCCCCATGTTTATTTTAATTTTTTATATATATATTCCCCTTTATTACTTTTCAACCCCACCATCCTTTCCCTAGGTGCACTTCTTTGCGAGGCATTGGAAAGCCTCCCTGGTGTTTGTGGTTGAATCTGTGTTTGAAATTCACTGCTCAACTGAGGGACTTAATTTACAGATCGTTTTATGTGTGGGTTACAGAGATGAGGTAGTCATACACAAATCATGTTAAACACTATTATGTGACTTGTTAAGCAAATGTTTCCTCCTGAACGTATTTAGTCTTGGCATAACAAAGGGGTTTAATACTTATTGACTCAAGACTTTTCAGCTTTTAATTTGTAATTCATTTGTTAAAAAATTCTAAAAACAG